ATTTGCTAAAAAGAAAATTAACCTCCCAAAAACGAACAAGCACTTGCTTCTTGTGCTTTGTTTGGCTTGGGCACCACGTTTCATTGAATTCAATTTTACAATTAGTAATGGGTTGAAATATTGTTATCCCATTTGCAGCTCAATTAGATTGTGTTGTTATCGATGGGTAGAAAGTTATTATGAGAGGTGCCTAATGAAACGATTCCTCTACCATAAATTGAAAACTCGTGATATAGTCAAGAGCCTGAGAGATAATGCAAGAGCTTAAATGACTGGCAATTTGTCTAAACAAATAATATAGACAAGACCATGTTACTTTTGTTGGGACAAACAGGATGACGAGAAGATTAAGTCATTATGCTACCACTTTATCAAATTATAACGTTTTTTTTGTTATACTTCGCCTAATCTTGGTACAAATCTACATCTATAAAATACTTATTGAGACGCGTCTACTTAAATATTAATTCAGTAGCGGTGATATTGAGCAACTTAGTGATCAAACCATAACGTGATGGCTTAAAAAAGCTGGAGAAAAAAATATAAAAATGTGCTCAAATTGCACTGCTGTATGAGTATTTTGCCACTATAACCTAAACCAATTTCTCAGACTACTTTAAGTGAACACTTAAGGCACTATTGTTTTTTGTGCACGTGATCATTTCACCTTGCAGAATTAAAATTGGCGTACAACATTGGCCAGCCTCATAGCAGATCTTCTTCCCTCCTCTATCATCCAATCACAGCGTAATAAATGAAGCCTGTAGTTGTCACGCACGAATATGCAAAGCGTCTTAATTATTAACCTTTCTAGATTTTGAGAACAGAGACATCAGGAGTATGAAAATCATCATGGAGTTGGAACAAAAGAAAAATTAGTGAGAGATGAAATGTGAGGTACAAATTTTGCTTATCCAATGTGATAGTCACAATTCACTCTTTAAAGGCAATGTGAAACCGCTTTACGTATCACGAATGGGATGAACTTCACAATTGACATTGAGGATTAAAGAAGTGTTGCACCCAATGGTGGGTAATTTTTTTCAACTCTCTGATATTGTGAAGTGTCGAGGGATCGCACCTGCGCTTTTTAGCTAAGCAGTCAGTGTGTAAACACACAAAATTGAGGTAAGTAACCTCTCGATTCGCTGGGCTGGGAAACTAAAGTCTCCCTTGCCATAACAGTGCAGCTCCCCATTCCATCATTATGTTATTATGTCCAAATAAAACGACTAAGAGGCCTTCAGCTATCTTTCATCATTTTCCTTACAGATTGGAGGAATGATATGGTGAAGAGTCACTTATCACGGCATTATTATTCCCTGATAATGAAAGTACAGAGGAATTTCTTCCTTAACTTCTCTTGTTCTTCATCTGTGTATAATCAACGGGTTTACTCTCTCCTTTATGCTCAAATTTATCACCTCCTTCATGCCATTTCCACAATCAAACTGTGCAAGACAGTTTTGGTTGGGAGGAGAAGAGCTGATGGTGATGCAACACTGCAATCCAGTAGCTGGTTTCTTCACTTACAATCTAAAGAAACAAAAAGAATGGAAAGAGATTTGTCCATTAATGAGTAAACAATGGGGCAATCACACGATTTGAATATGCGACTAACGAAACGGAAACATCTCCTTCCTTATTTTTCCTTTTCCACAAGTTGGGTGTTATGGATTGTGTTTTGCGAGATGAGTGCAACAAAGAATAATGGACAAAGTGGAGAAAGGAAGTAAAGTAAGTTGAATAAAGGACTAATTAGTGCCTTGTATTTAAACGTCAACTTGCCAAGTTGACAGGTTACTAAAAGGAAAAATTGGTGGATTTAAATATCTTATGTGTCACGATGTCATATTGTGTCAACCAATGACAGAGAGGTCACATTTAAGGTTAGATCAAGCCTCGAATGGAATACCCTTTCCACCTGTTTTGTCAAGACTCATTAAATATCTCACGGTTAGGTTGTCTTGACAATTCACTGGCTTTGGTTTGGGCACAATGCAGCACAACACTGCCTGTTAGCTGTATGGCTCACGTGCAAGAAGATGCTGTTGCAAATTAGTCCCTAATCCCGACTGTTACGTGATTCCTAGCCCAAATTTTTTTATAAGATATATTAAAAATTCATTTGTTAAACCGGTAGGGATGAATGACTTGTGCAAATGTGGACTCTTACTGAGGTCTACAAATAAGCACTCGAATCGGCAGTCATTATTTGCCCACGTTAAGGGAAAAATCGAGTATATAGTTAAGATATTGCTTGCCAAATCAGGAGAAAGAAGCATAACTAACAAATGCACTAAGTAATTATCAAACACAGCCCTTATTTTGGGCCTTAGATGCCCTGAAACTGCCGTTTACAATATGCTTTCGTACCTTTGCATAAAATCGCTTATACTCTTCGTCCTACTGATATTATTTAAGTAAAAAGCTCAGTTTAATGCAATTTCACAATTTCAAGAATTCAAAAACAATTTTAATTCTCACAAAATTTAGTATAATAGCCCATGTTGGAATAATAACTTTCAGGAAAGTCATATGCTTTTAGTTTTTATTTCTTAATTTGCTTAAATTCCATTTGTATCTTTAAAGGGAGTTATTTTGTTTGACAAAGTGACAATTTCAGATAACTGGTTAAACAAAATACTCAACTAGCACGTGTCGTTTTACTTAACTGATTACTTTTTGGCCCTCAAATTTATAATTCATCTTCATATGGCATCAGTTGAGATCCACCCCATGTGAATGGCAATTCTAGTCACAAACCTTTAAAGGACTTCTATAACTTTTCAACATTACTACCACCTCTAGGCATGATCACCTAAGGTGACTTTAGCACCTAGTCAACTCATGTGCTTTTTGTGCCCAAACTTGGATGCAGCTTCTATTTAAAAGCTCCACCTAAGCAACAATCTGAAGAGGTTAGTAATTACCATGACATCACTAACACACTGCATTGTAATCTTGCTTAACACAAGAAGATGATCAGAGTGGCTAGAGACGGACATTCAAGGCCTGAGCGTAAGGCATCGTTCAGCTTACTCCACGCAGAGCATAAATTCACCCTGGAGTGATTATCCTAACATCGGTCAATTAAACTGACACGAACACGGCAACGGGTCAGTGATGTCAACCACGCCTGGAACAAATGTGGACATTGTGTGCCTAGTGAGGTTCAACGCCTTCCATTTGCCTATCCTTTTTTAACAATTAAAAAGTAGGTGATTTGAAGAAGGAGATCTAACTTCTGTCTTTCGTATTGCTCACTTTCAAACCGGTTGACGTCTACTTTCTGCATTTTGCTCCCCTTGACTAAGGAGGGAGAGAGCAAATGCCTTGTTCATACCATCCATCTCCTATCCCCTAGCCAATAGAGGGCCATCGCTGGCAGACACTACGTAGGATTTCAGTGCTCAACAAAAAAGTGACGATCAAATTGTAGACGTGCGAATGTTAGGAACGTAAAGTCACGCGGAATTGCTATCCAAAGGTGTGGATGAGGCAATGCCACTTCCTTAATTTCATGCCAACTCACAACAGTGTAGCAAGTGTCTGGGTTAAAGACCAAGTCTCCGACATTCGTTTTAACCCGTTTTGATGCATAAGTTGGTGTTATGCTGTCGAGATCGCTTTATAAGGCGCAAAAAAGGGAGGCAGACCTAATGTAGCTGGGATGCAAGCCCTTTTAGCTGATCAAATAGGATTCGTCAAAACAATTTTTTTACAAATTGTTAGGGATAAAATGAAGGGGAAGGCCGAAGAGGTGGAAGCAAGGTTTTGCTATAAAGCATTGCTGCAGAAGGCCACAGCCAAACAAAGTCTTTTTTAAGAAAGGTGATGTACAACCATGTTGAGCAATTCGAATGCATTTATAATGGAACTGCTTATGAAATGAGTTAATAGGAAAGAATAGCAATGGCTACCCTCCACCTCCGCATCCTCCTTCTTACCTCATTGGGAGATGTCATCAACGCATTCCCATCTTTCCACAGGTCGTACTTCTCTCCCATCCATGGTTCATTCTCCAATTTATTCTTCGTGTCTTCCACGTTTTCCTTACCGCTAGGAGGAAGGCTTTGCCAAATCTATCTCCTTTTTTCTTAAACCTTAGACATATTCAGCACTAGATTCCCCAAAGGAAACCGGATTCCTTCGGGTTATGAGACATTTAAATTCGCCTGTCAGTAGGTGCAAAGAAATCACCGTACGTGTGTAACCCCTGTAACGCAGCATTGATTGTCCAGGGTGCACCAGAAGGAATAGCTTATGCTAATTTATATTTTGGTCACAGTTTTGAGGACACAACAAAACTTCCCAATTTCATTCAACCTCCCACCATCTTCTGTTTCAATGATGAACGACTACTGATACTTGCTGCTATTACTTTACCATTCACACCACTTATGAACGGCCGGTTATGAGTTGATAGAGTTGCATGACACAAAAAATACTGTAGTGAAGTCTTGCCCCGGACTTGATCCCTCCAATGCACTCCCACTTCCCTTCATGATCTTCTCCATCCCTAACGCATCGTAGCGATGTCATTTTATTAAGGTCTGCCACAATTACTTAAGTACATTATTGCGTACGTGCAGTCCCCCCTCGGTCACCACACCGCCAGGCATTGCGTTTGTGCGTGTGTGTGTGTGTACAGACATCCACACGGTCCCATCGATTTTGCCTACAAGTGAACAGTAATCATGGCTACACGCCGGTGGAGTATTGATCGATGGCGCAGTCGACTGACCAATGGGATGAGAGCGCGTTCTTGGTGCTGCATCAACGCTTTCACCCACACCTCTGCCTCGAGGGCCAGAGATTTTGGGAGGTGGCAGTTGGTGTGGAAGCGCCTCTAGGAGGTTGGTCTTTTGCCCACTACTCGTGTCTTCCTATACATATCTCTGTCTCTCTTTGACTAAAGCATCGCTTTACCTTTTTGGATATCTTACCTCACTTGCCTCTCCTTGCAGTCTACTGCAATAGTTGGTCTCTGCTGCAACATGAGTGACGACGAAAGCCGATCGTAAGTGCATGCCTTCTTTCCTCCTTTCTTGATAGACATCTTATCATCTCCATAAGTTTCAGTAGGCCTGCATTGCTCACTCGAAACCATACTACAAATTAGTTTTAAAGGAGAAGTGATCACAAACTTGATTCTATGCTCACTTTAATGGGATGTTCCCTAGACGTTGAATCAGAACATTAAAAGTGCAGAGGCACATACAGGCACCCGCCATGCCAAGACCAAATTTGTAATGCATTTAATTTAGTTTTATACAAGCGGTCTTACCTGTCATCCATAATGGCATTAAAATGTTTTTTGTTCTTCTTTTTTGTAGTGAATCTGTAAGTTAAACTTACCCTGTTACTTCGTAATTTCATCCTGCGCTACCTAACACAGACAATCGCCATTTGAGTAGCATTGTGGATTCTAAGCTTAAGACACTGTTTTTATCAACTCCTAGGCCTCAGAGTCTGAGGTAACCGATCCCATTGCATGCCATCTCAAAAGCCCTTGACTGGGGAGTATTGCATGTACTTGTCACAATTCTTCTTTCTTTACTTCGCCTCGCCAAGCTTACTAACCCAGCTAACTGTTTCTTCACATCTATGCAGGAAGAAGTTTCCGAGGTAAAACGCACTCACAGCACCCACCATGTTTCATAGATGAAAGTTGATTGGATTTTCAAATGTGGCTTGCTTTTTGTACGGACGTCTTCCCTGTTTGCGTGTGTAGTGTAGTAGCCTTGTCCCTCCTCGACCCGCTCATCCTAGCACCACATCTAGCCCTGATGTTTTATCGTTTTGACAAAAAACTATCATACATTGTCCGCTAGCGGAGATGACCCTCGGTTGGGAGCAATATTTGTCCAAAATTGCACGTCAACTTGATGTTAAGCATGTTCATTGTTGAGTGTTTTCTGATGGTGCTAACGGCAGCAGCCCTAATATATAAACTTTCAAATCTTTTCAGACCGAATCAGAGGTAAAATTTCCAATCTTTCCGTCTGCCTTTTTATAGCATCAAAGTGTCATTTGTCTACTTGCGTGAATGTTTTCCGTTCTCCAAGTTGCGGTGTGAATGTTGTCCTGTTTCTGTTGGTTCTCCTTTCCTTTTTCCTCCTCCTCTGTCACATATCATAAGTAGACTTCAGCTGGACAGTAAAGAAAGACGATCGCGATTGACCACAGGATGCGATTTGCATGTGTCATCAAAATAGTCTTACGTTGTTTAAGTGTTTAGTCAAAGGCAACGAGTTCTTGCATCGTCCAACATTTTGTCGATGGCTGCACGGGTCATATCAGTGTCTCTGCCGATGATTTTAGTGCCTTTTATTCTTGGTTTTCCTTTTTTTATATCCAAACATCTTTTAGGATGAAACCCAAAAGCAAAAGGAGGAAGTAAGTTAGCGCTTATTGGTTAATAAATTTTAATAAGAACAGTAATCATTACTACTTAAATGGATTTCAGGAGGAGCGAAGGAAGAGGGAGGAAGAGGCAAGGCGTGAAGAGGTTGGTGCATGCGTGCATGATTTCTACTTTCCGTTTTCTCGTCTCAGGCACCCGTTTTGAGTGGAATGATTACAATCGCACACATCCACACACCTACACACAAAGCAAACGCACACTCCTACTTGCACAATACACCGCTATGACTCCTTGTCCCTCTACACCATCCCCTTTCCCGAGATTTTTCAGCACAAGTTCTGCGGCAAAACCTTGGTGAAGCCTCAAAGCGTATCCTGTCGATTGATTACTCGGCATGGCTTTGAAAGGCGGTGAAGTTCTTGAAATTAGGATAAAGTTGCATGCTCGGAATGTGGCTAAAGCGAATCGAACATTTGCATGGCATGGGATGTGAAGCAACAAATCCCCTATTGACATATCGTTTGTTTACCTTTCTGTTTGCGCAAAATCTAGGCTGCGGCCGAGCGTCAAAGAAAACAAGAGGTAGTATAAATGTACTAAAAAGCACTGTTCACTATTATTTTGAACCAGGCAGGCATGACCAGCGCTTTCGCATACCTTAGTTGCATTGTATTTGAAACTCGACTGTAGCTTCCCTTTTGCGCTTCAAAACTTACTTTCTTTAAAGGCAGCTTGCAGCTTTCCTGCACAATAAATCATTCTTATTATAGTTTAAAAATAGCATGCTTTAAAAATGCCTTATTTTGTGTAGTGGAGGTTACTTTACAGAACCTTTAATTTTAGGAGAAGGCTAAGCGTGAGGCGGAAGAAGCTGCCAAGAAGCAACGCAAACCTGGCCAAAAGAGGAAGGGTTTGGGAGGCCTTTCACCAGAGAAGAAGAGGTTACTCAAGGTTAGTGCCTAGACCCAACTTTTGTTCTTAACCTTGTGGTCCCCTGACTGGTGAATGATCGCGGCGCTCTTTGATCCATTTAGCAACTGATCATGCAAAAGGCGGCAGATGAAATGAAGGCGGAAATGAAGAAGCGACAAGAGGAGAAGGACAACTACCTCCGATCAAGAGTTCAAGCCCTTCAGTTGGACGGTCTCGATGACGGTAATTCTGAAGTTTCGGCTTTATTAGGTGAAATCCTTGAGATGCTAGTTAGTCGTCGAAAGCCATTTACTTTTATCTTCCCCTCAGCTGCTCTTGCCAAGAAGGTTCGAGAGCTCCATGCTCGGGTAGCTCAACTGGAGGGTGAAAAGTACGACTGGGAAGTGAAGCTACGACGGCAGGATATTGAAATTAATGAGCTCACCATGAAGGTGAATGATGTCAAAGGCAAATTGTAAGTATACTTGCCTAAGCCACCCAAACTTATCGTATTAATGTAATGAGCTTATCCATGCTTCATCCATCCATAGCGTCAAACCCGTGCTTAAGAAAGTTTCCAAGACTGAAAGCCAACTTGCACGTATCGAAAAGAAGGAGAAGACGCTGGCCTCATTCCGAACCCAACTGAAGTCCACTGGACAAAACAAATTCGCCCTTGAAGAAAAGGATGAGGCCTCTCATGTAAAGTTTACAGTTATTTTTGTATTTTTTTCGGTTTTTTTTCAATCTTTCCTTTCCAAATTGACCTTGGTAAAGCATGTGGTAGTGGAGGCTAACCCGATCCACCTTTAGCCACTCAGAAGAGCCTTACAATATGTCTTTGTCTCCTAGCCAATAAACGAAGGCAGAAATGTAGGATATCCGCATATTTATGTGCATGACTACTTTTGCCTTTTTTCCTTGTAGAAGGTGGATTTTCGAGACCAATTAAAGCCAGCGGGTGAAGGCGAGGCTCCAAAGGAGGCTGCAGAAGAGTAAAGCAAAAGAAATGTAGTAATGTCCTCCTCCCTGTTCTCAACCTTATAAAGTACTTTCGAAGACTTCCTGCTCCATTAAATTAAGACTGTCACCCCATCAGACACACGTACACCTTGCCACGTAGTCAAGTGCCTTATTTACTTCTCTTATTTACTTCCTCCCTACCTTGATCACTGGCCTTTCGTACTTAGCTGTCTTTGGTCCATTAGATGCTGTTTTCCCTTTCTCTTTATCTCTCTCTGGCTTGATAAAAGGGCTGAAGAGAGAGGCAGACAGGCAGGCTTGTCTGTAACATCGGAGATAGGGTTGCTCTAGCAAATTCCGCAACAGGCATATCCGTGTCAGCTCATTTCCTTCTTACCATCCACCTTGTTCCCTTCTCCACTACGTACACCAGCGTCTGCAAATGTCACACACCCTCCACCGATGCTGCTTTAAAATTTACCTATTTTATGGCTAATAAACGCCTTAATTTTCGATGAGAAATGGGAATCACATAGGTTTAGTACAAGAAAGCAGTAACAATTTGATAGCACGGTCCTTCCAAATGCTTTACGTGACACTACTTCATAAAAATGGTCAGGTGAATCGCAAAATCTTCTCATTGGTGAGTAGTCTACAGTATGTGTCTCGAGGGGCTTGATGCTGGGCTTTGGAGCACTTGGAAGAAAACTGTGCCGTCCAAGACTTCCCGATATGTAGAAGAAGGCGTTAAATGAAGTTGAATGAATGTATTCAGGGGAGGAGAAACTAGTTGATCCCTTTTCCGAAAATTTAGTTTTAAAATGTTTAAATAATCTATGCAATATAATCTAACGTTCCAAGACTTCCTGTAGGGTGGAAGAAGACAGTAAGTGAAGCTGGATATATGTATTCCAGCCAGCCCACGAGTACAAGGGCCAGACGAATCCTAAAGTGACCGCCAAACGTCAAATAGTCGCATAAACAAAACATTTCAGCTGGTGTGCTTTATTCTGCGGTTCATAAAAGAGGCGACAAATGGGATGCAAGTCATGGAGACTCATTTTTCAAATGTCAGCGCATGTAGTTGAGGCTCCTTTCTTCTTGATGTACCACTTAATCTTTTAAATCATAATGACTTTTAAGGAATGATACGCTCATGCAGATGTTAATTTTACCTCTTCACCTCATAGATCAGATCCTTTGCAGTGCGCTTGTTGAACATCTACAGAAAGGGCACTTCAATCTTTCCACATTTCAGAGGTTAGTTAACCTCTCTTAATGAACCAAACTGACTAAAAATCTTCCCTCTGATGGTTCGACAATAAGGCTAGAAACGTGGTTGTGTCAAGTCATCGTTTTTACTCCTTAATTACATCAGGACTCTAAAATATCTGTTTCTTTAACTTCAGAATAATTGTGTTTTGCGATTCAGCTTTATACTTAAAGAGGTAGAGACCAATAATAGCGCTATAAATACACTAGAATGTGGGTACCTTGTGGCGCTCTAAATGGAAGAGATAGGATTAGGAATAGAAAACAAGAAGTGATTGCAGCAGACTGTGCTGTAAGCCACCCGCTTGCCTATGTGAATTCCTCTAAGCCAATTATTAGCACTGACTGCTATGCCCTATGATACTACTGACATTCATTTAAGTATCGGCTCTCATTTAAGGAACGGAAGAAAATGTATTTTTACTACCCCTGAGTGTACTGACAGTGAGCGCTTGCAGTTGCTTACTAGTAGTGGTGATTTTCAAGGTCTAAACTTTACTTTATTATAAATATTACATTTTTGACACTTCGCTCACGTAAATTCAGTCATGGTAAAAGGGGAAAGGCAGTTTGCTATGAGGAGTATTTTCTCTGGCACTTCATGAGAATATCTTAGGATAGAGCACAAATCATCCTAAACAAGAAGATCCTTATGATGTAATTTGCCTAGGCTTCTTCCAACCTTATTACTCGTCTCTTGCCTTTAAAAGAGGCTAAATTATGAGAACCCAAATTTTGTACTACAGATATAATGGAGCATTACTTTAGGAGGAAAATCGGTCATTCAGTCCTACATTGATGCTTATACGACGGAGAGGTGTCAAAGTTAAGCGACTACAACACTGGCATTGGCCGCATTAAGAGGACTGGGAGAGGGTGGCATGATAAGTATCACCTACGCGCATCAAGAAGTGACAAAAGGGACAAATGATTAGAAAGTTCCTTATTTAGCATGACCAATGGCTGCTACTTCTAACACATTAACGTTTTCTCCTCGCCTTCATACAATTCTAAGGTGGTACATCTCTCCGCAGACATAGCGTAGACAAAAGTAACTCGGCTAGGGTTTAGAGTGTCTCCGTTGTCGACCACCTCGTATGGCTGTGAGAGGCTGGAATATGTAGCGCAGATATTAAAGTGTTAGCACGATTAACCAAAGTACCAGGAGGTATGAGTGATCTCAGGAAAGTGGAATGTGCATGAGCATCCGCCGAGGGGACACTGAATTCCTAAACTTGATTCCATTTCGCCCTACTTTGATAGGCCTATGGGTTGCAATATCACGCAGTACGAAATTCGAGGATTACCATTATCTCTTACGTTAAATTATACAGTTGGTTTGGATGTTGAAGGACGTTTTGAGCTTCATTAGGGCCATAGCAAAAGATCGGAGCTGACGATGACCTTTCATAAGCTCGTAATTAGTGTCGTCAAAACAAACCAAACCAGTTAGAATGAAAAAACAACTAATTAATTTAATCACTCCATTAGAATATCAAAATTTTGCTAAGGGTACGTTTACAAACTAAAAAATGCTGACTATAATTTTATCATTCGTCTGCCCAAATCCTGCTTCGTGATCGCAGAAGTCAAGATTTGATGGAGGCTATGGGCCTGAAAGTTGCCAAAGAATTGTTTTTTCTAAAAACACCTTTCAAATTGGGGATTTGTTGAAGGTGAGAGAAAAAATCAAACGAGACAAAAGGTTCGGCAGCCTTAAATAAACTAGATACCTTGTTTAACAGGCGCTCGCATTGATGGGTCTGCGCTATTGTGTAGAAGGGAAGAAAAACGAAGCACTTCGTTACATTCACTATAGCAACGGCCCAACCATTTGGTTTATATAAGTGGTCCTGTTGTAGCGTCCCTACTTCGATTTAATTGTCGTGTAAGTTGACTAGTTACACATTTCTTACGCCTCTCCCTAAACCGATTGGGCAATTTTGAACTTAGAGGAGTTATTTTGCTGCAGTAAAATAAGAGCGTTATTTGTGATGGGTAAGGTTAATTAATTAGGCGTTGGACTGGAATTTGACACTGACAATGGACCTTTTAACTAATAAAAATTACCTCCGTTTGGCTTATCCTTTCTTTGTTTTTAAGGCAAATAATGCCTGGTAAATCCAGGTTAGGCCAACACTTAGATCCAGCAAAATTCGCTTCTCTAAAAGGCTTTCTCATCTCATCCGATGAGGATGACGACTCCGAAGAAGAACAGGTCAACACAATGGCACATTCGAAACAAAAGCATACGTCGTTGGAAGAAGAAGAAGATGATGATGTGGGGGACGCCGAGGTGGAGTGGAATCGAGACTTGCATAAACCAGAGAAGTCATTTGTTGCAAGCAGATGTAGTAGCAGTGGCAGGAAAAGATATCGACATGAGCAGCGACGGCGGTCACAAAAATCGGCATCGCCACCAGCACATTCTCGTCATAGGTCATCTAGAACAAAGATGAAAAGCCCTGACAAGAGAGCGCTCTCCAGAGAGGTGACAACTTCCAGCGATAGTGAGAAGGAGGCAAAACACATCAACAGAGAAGGGGAGGTTAAGTACGATCGAAGTCTTGTTAAACAGAGTAGCAAGGATAAATTGTCTCGTAAAGGACACGATAATGAGGATCGGAGCATGACTAATCGACCGCCTCCAAGACAAGGCGATGTCTCTCGTAAGCCCTCCTACTCGCTGCAAGTCTGTATTTATGTTTGACCAAATATTAGAATATTATCGCAACATGTATTAAGTTGATGAGATAATTGAAAAAGTTTTTAATGTGGTACTTTATGACTTAATTGTGTCCCATTATTAATCTGGTTACACTATGGACGAAGAAAAGGAGTGCGGTTGTTTGTTAAAGTTTTTCAGTGCTTGAGGTAGATGCTTAAGGCGATGATGAGACAAGAGAGTTGAAAGGTATTTATTAACAGTAGTTTGATTATTGAGCTAAAAACTGGTGTTAACTGTTGGCGGATTGCTGTTATGTTACGTGGTGATTGTTCTCCAACAACAGGGCTCTTACCTAACCCAAGCCAAGCTGTCTAGTCATCCACCAAATCTGTGTATATGCATGCATATGACCAGACGCGATAAACATTTTGGAATTACTTTATGCAATCCCGTAAAGCTCACTAGCATCGCGGAAGGAGGCTTACATACAATTATAACACCACCGACCCATCACCAATTGAAATCACATTAAAAATAACGATAATAATGATAAAACTGACGTATTTTAACGATTTTCAACGAATGTGGCGGTTGGAAGTAAAATAAGAAAAATGGCTTTCAAGAAAACGAAAAACTCCTAGTGAATGTCTTTATGAGTTTTGGAAGATGATAATGTGTTCCTAAAAGAGAACATTACTATATAATCCTAGCTCACTTTTTCAACTAGATGTTTTAGTTGACTTTCTAAAAAAATGCCCAAACTATTAAGGGCACTTCATTTTGTACGTAGTTTTCTTGTTCAAGGCAGCATTTTTTAAATTGCGAGTCGGGATTCATTGCAACATAGACCAAACAAGAGAAATTTGCCTCATTATTAATCTGTTCTCACTTTTTAGAAAATTGTGATTCAGACGACATTAATGGGATCTGTTCCGGCCTAGAGAACTGGACAAAGTCCATTGTGCCGCACTACGAACCATCCGATGAGGAAACTAGTAATATTTTGAGTGGAAATTATGCTTTTTAATGTCACGGTATTTGTTGACTTATTTTGAAACTGTCACTATCACAGCTCTGTTGTCCTTTGATAAATAAAAGAGCAATCGGAAAAAGTTGTCCTTGGACTGCTAATGATTAAAACTTCTGTTGCCATGACACACTGTTAACTCATTTGGTCGGCTTTTTGTTTTTTATAAAACCAATTGTCGCGCCTTCGCTGTGTTAAGGCGTAATAAATGATTACCGATGCATTTGAACACTATGGAAAATTAAAATCGTAACTTGAAGTAAATCTAAATGGGCTTGAATGATGCAAAGAATACATTTTTATCTCCAAGCAATGGCTGGTACATTTTTAATTCTAGTTATGTTGTTGAGTACTTGATAATATTAACCCATGAGCCTTAAAAATTGGTATCTCTTGTCTGAATTATGACTACCAAGGAACTCTACAGCTTATTCCATGCGCAAAATTAATGCCTTATAAAAAGTTTTTAATGAATATGAGAAAGTACCAAAACGTTTATCGTCTGAAATGGATTCATTTTATGAAATACGATTGACTGTCATTGACGTTCTTGCGACTTGACAATTGTTTCTTCACTCCCCTGAGGCTTCTGACTTTGTAGAAGAAGGCATTAAATTGGGCTGATTACATGCACATTGGGAGGATAGGAAGGAAGTGGACCTTACTTTGGTCCAAATATTAGCCCTCGCTTGCAAGGAAAGTCGAATACTAAAGCATTCTTGAAGTATTAGTTGCTCACTTAGATAAAATATTACAGTTCCTACTTACGGTTCTTCTCATTTGAGTACCTAGCGCCCAGCGACAGTATCTGCCATGCTTGCCTTGCATTTACACACCTTCAATATATACGCAGGGTCATGAAGCGTTCATAATATATTTTTTGTTTAATACTGATTCATTCTCTGGTTGTTGAGAAACTTGATGAACAAAAGCCAAATATTTGTTTGTAGGACCTCCTAGCCTACCCACATACGTCTGAACTTCTTGCTTCATGTGTTTTGATTAAGGAGGGTTTACTGGGCATCCTTAACAGAATAGAAAAGGGTGTGAGTATCAGTAAGCCGACAATTTGGCGTTACTTCGCAAAAGGGTCCTCGCGTTCTTCAAGCAAGGGACAAGTGCTCGACTT